GACTTTCCACGATCATGGTGTCTTTCTTGCTCGAATTCCTGACTTGAGATGAGCGGTTCTTCCGGCTTCTGAGCGCGATCCGCAGCTACAGCCATGTACACATTACGTCAATCCGAATCAGTATCCGATCCGCTAGAGTCAACATCTGATCCACTGCTCGTGCTTTTTACGTGGGTCGCTCTCACAGCTCGAGCTGGTTTAGCTAGCATTTGGGCCGCGGTTGACGTAAGGCGCTGTCGAAATTTACTCGACTCCATAGATGTGTGAGCTTCTTGGACTTCCATGTTTTCTCACTCTTGCAGAGTTTATTCAAGGTCGTCTACATCTCCAAGGCGTAACATCGATAACATTCTCGCCAGATCACGATCGTCCAGGGTACCAATATAATGATTCGCATGTTCCTTGCGGATGGCGGGAGATCCATCTCGTATCGGGATCTTCGCCCGGATAGTAACCACATTCAGACGGTACAAGTACTCCAATGGAGTCTCGTTCGATCGCTCACGGGCATGTTAGTAGAGTCTCCCGACCGAACTGTTATTCTCCCCTACGTATTTAGCCTTCCAGGAGTGCCTTCTACGAAGTCCTCGTCGAGCGGCTGATCTGATTATACCAGTCACGCTCCGGCCCCGTAAGAAGATCGCTGAACACCAGGCGCTTCTCCGCATCAGGCGCTTGATCACGTAGGAACGCCGACTTCACCTCACTGATCCAGTTTCTTGCCTGTTCTTCATTTTTTCTCGTCCGGAAAACTCTTTCAATTCAAACTTGGCAGACATCCGAATTATTTGGTTAGAGAACCCACCACCATCCGCTTCCCGTGAACTTGCCACCTGCGGTAGTCTGTTATTACCGTGGTCTCGGTGCTCACGACCGTAGTTGTGCAATCTACTAGGACGCGATCCAACCGATTCCATGTCTATATCTGGCACATAAATCTCCGGTTCAGGTTGGTGAGTAGCCGATCGTCCGGTATATGTACGGGCTCGTTCTAGCTCTTGTTTCCTCATAGCTGCTCGAAAATAGGAATTCACCTGCTCTGCTTCCACCATGTTCATGAACTGCGTTGCCGGTGGCTTTCTCGATCGAGCTTCTGCCTCGGTCAGTTCAAGCTTCTTCCGCAATCGATCCGCGCCCCTTGGTCCTGGTGACATCCGTCAAATTTCAATCGAGTCGGTCGATTCCTCTTCCGTCTCCGCTGAAGAATAACGGGACGATCCCGTGTGTTCACCATTTGGGGAATCGTCGATCGGTGTGAGAACTTGATCCATCGTGACTTGCAACGTGATCTGTCGATCCGTGGTGCCGATCGGCGGGGTCCGGTTGTCTCCAGGGTCGCGTACGCCTATGCGCGGACTCAACGTTTTAAACAGCGACTGTCCTACGGCAATAACACGGTCTTGGTTGCACTCTAGTAGAGTTTGCGCATCGAACGTTCCAGCAGTAAACCCTGCCTCAGTTAGCAGATTTTTTTACTGCCGGAGAGCCTCCAACACGTTGGGGGTTTGTTCGGGTGCTGATATTGGCCTGCGTAGCGATCAGGTCAGCTTCGACTTTATCGTCTTAAGCACTGGATTGCTCGACAACAGCTTCTTCAGCTCCTTCAAATGGTATTCTCGGCTGATTTCGTCGAATCGACAATCTTCAAACTTCACTTCGCGATTCACTGACTTATATTATTGATCTATCTTCTCCGTTTTGACCTTGCATTTGGCTTGCTTGTTCGTGTAAACATTTCGATCTTGTTTTACTACGGCCAGCTTCTTAAGGTCCTCCAAACTCCTAGCTTCTTTCTTCAGCATGTCGGATCGTTCCTCCGATATGAATGAAAATCGTTTAGGGATTTCCCTAGGACTTTAATCCTGCATATTGCAGCGCGATCTGCGGGTCCCCCGAAGATAGAGAGTTATATTTTTTCTTCCAGATCGTGCAACCGATCTTTCTCTTTTATTTTCTTGTCGTCAAATTCCCTCCCAAAGCTTTGACGATCTGGATATACTTCATTTTCACGCGTCTGCGACGATCCCTCTTTTGCTGGCGCTTCTATCCCCGGTTCAGTCTTGATCTTGACTTCTTCGCTCAGGGGCTCACGAAAAAATCCCGAGTCATCAGAAGATCCGGGCACGCGCACCAGTTTGGATGAGTGATGATCACAAATTCCTTGTGATCCCGACTCTCCATTGGCGCCCGGACGATCGACTAACGGAGGGGGTGCTCCGATTCTATGCTCTGTGACCTTGTGTACGTACCCGTCGGTGGGGCGGATTGCGTTATTCTTGGTGGACTTGAGTTGAAGCTGAACTTGACGGTTTTAGGGATAGGGGTTGATCGGGTGGAAATTCGTCAACCGGTCAAAAATAGGGGCTGGTTGATTGGAAATTCTTCACTCGATCGCTTGTAACTTGGACGCATTCCCATAGTCGCCTGTATCCAAAGGTGACGCTTGATCCGCGAGCCTTCTGACCACTTGAGCCGTCTCGCGATCTTGAGTCCAAAACGAAAGGTTCACCGCGTACGATTGCAGTTGGAGGGTGATAATTGACGTTCCGCCTGGCCAAACAATCCAAACGCAACGTTTGCAGAGATGCGGGTCACTCTCCATTCAACGGAAGGCCAAAAATACTGCCCGGGAGAAGTCGACGAGTTTCTTTCGTTTCAAATTAAATTCTGTTCGATGTCAACCAACCAGAATTAAAACCTATGACTATGCCTTTCTGTTCGCTAGTTTAATGTCGCATATCGCTTGTCTATGTAATTCACCTCGCGCATCATGTGGTCCACAGCAGATACTCGGGTGGCGGATCGCTCCGTAGCGAATCGCTAGGTAGTGAATCGCTCCATAGTAGATCGTTAGTGGTGGATCGCTAGGGTAGTAATCCTCTCCGTAGTGGATCGCTCGGGAAGGAACTGCTTGGGTAGTTGATCGCGGTATGTGGTCCGCACTAGATACGTATCACACAATCAAGCGGTACACACCCAGAATAGATCTCTGTCTATATTTTGCGTCTTTGATCGGGCATCCGCCGTCGAATCGATATCACTCCTGAGACCTCGCATGATTTATAACTTTGACAATCCGCTCCTCCAGCTTGCTTCCATTTTCACCAATCATTCAATCTCTGTTATGGATGACGTAATACAGTCGTTCACCTTTTCTGTGGTGGTCCGAATCGTTGATCGCGAATCGCGATCGGTCAATCGTCGATCTGTGACTATACTACTGCTTGCCCTTATAATAGATCAATCCGCACAATCTCAACAATCGTTATCCTTCACTCAGTCTGTCGATCCCATCCCTCGTGCCAACGGGTCCATCTCTGAGTACGCTCCACCAATCAAATTTGGTTTCGTACTTAAGGCGGTTAGCACGATCCAAACTTTCCATCATTCTTTCTCCGCACTTTTCAATATGAATGCAGCCACAAAGAGTGTGATTACAACGCAATTTTATGTTATATACGCTAGATTCCGGGAGTGCATTAGAAGCGACGTTTGGAACACTGTAGATTCCTACTAATAAGAAGAATACCGACAAATAGAAAAACATATTCTTTCGGGTACAACTCTAACATTTACCTAGGTCAAATCGGCTCAGGTCAAATCGTATATCGAAGGATCACACGACCTTGGACATCATTTTAAGATCTTGTTAAGACGCCTGAAAAATGCCACGACTTTACCGGGCATACCTTTGATTCTTCAAACGCTAATATCTGCTGATAAAGTTTTTTTAGTCCAGACCTTATCTTCACTTTCTTGCTGCGTGTAATCACAGCTAAGGTTGTCTTCCAATTACTCTTGATTTTGAAAAGCAACTCGGATACAAAAGGTGCGGAGTGAGAAGCGGTCGAGGTTTTTCAAATCCTTAAGTCTGACGATCCTGCCTCTTTTATAAGCCGATGCGTGGCTTCTTAGTTGTAGCAAATTCATGTTTACTGCTTCCTAGAAAAATGCTAAAACAATGACGATGCATAATATACCCTTTGTGTAACGGGGTACGGTCTTGTCAGATGACTGGAGACCTTGTATTTACTGAACACAATGCTGCTTGCTACCGACGTCACGTACACATGGCAACGAAGCTCAACCGAATCAAACAGAACCCGAAAGCTCTGTCTGAGGGAAAAGTAGAACTGTACTAATATAGTTCTGTGTCTTCAATAAACCATCTTTGTCTTTATCTAACTATATTAAACTACAATCTCGTATGTGGGTTTCTTGCTCACCACCGATTGCGCGCGTCCAGCAGCGAATGTTATAGTTTAGTTGGTGTATTGTGTACATCAAAAAGGAAGTGGAGCAACCACGAATATTACCCTCGGGGATACTATTCTGCCAACCTTACTTCTTACGGGTAATGTCAATCGAATATTATTAAAATAGATAATATTCAAAAATTGATACATTCGAATCGATTTTTATGTAACGGTCTCACACCGTTACACTATGTTGGTCCAAGAGTATCTTTCTGCATCGCACTGGATGTATATACGTGCAGTTGTTCAATATCTGAAGCAACCCTGCCCCCATCGTGAATGGTTGACATTGAATCGCGTTTTAAACCGAGTAATGAAGTCTTATCAAATCAAAAATTATGTTCAAGCTCAGGATGACCAATTTGCTTGATTTGTAAACAGGCTACTGTTTCTAATTTAGGATTCGTCCGAATTATAATCGAGATAAAATCTCAGCCTCAACGTTTTGACACGTCCAGTGACAAACCTTTTTTACAGAAGTCCCCTTTTTTTCGCACTGCATCGACATAGCTCCGACGTCTCAACTTCTGGACAGGCCCACGCGCACGACGCCGTATCGCTGTCCCACGGGATCCGTTCATGCTCGATTTGGGTGCCAGCTTCCGGCAATCTTCATTCGCGTGAACCACACCACATTTAGGTATCTGTCGCAGTGCCAAACCACACCAGCTTCAGTCACGTGTCTATTTATATTCTGCTTTCAGCAACGCACCGCACAAACAACAACAACAGCCGAGACCTCCGATGCATCGCGGCTCGATAAGTAGTGACGTGTCACGAAGAGGAGGGAGTTATGAGGTGTCGCCCGTCGAGTTGATCGGGCTCGAAGTGATCGAGATCTCGGACCACGTTCACTCGCCACCGGGGTCAGATGTGGAGGAGGAGGCGCTGCTGACTCGATCTACTGCCAGCACTGAGACGACGTCGAAAAAAACATCGGAAGCACCTTCTGCCCCACCAACAAAAGTGTTGTTCCTCGATGGTGTGCGTGGTCTCGCAGCCATGCTCGTTGTTCTCCAGCACTCCTCTGACTTCGCATTGCCTCTACAACCCGGGGCCATTGGTGTCGATATCTTCTTTGTGCTGTCTTCGTTTCTCCTGACGTGGCTGTTCATGAAGAAGAGCATGAAGCTGCTTGCACAAGGTGCGAACCTCCGCACGTGGAAGTATGTGCTTGCCGACTACTTTCAGAAACGGTTCCTTCGGGTGTACCCCCTCTTCTTCGTCACCGTGACGATCCTGGCACTTATGGCACCCGAAGACCGCGGACGTTACCTCTTTCTTTATGAAAGACCATACTCCCCACCCTTCAACACGTTGAGAACGCTCGTATTCGATTTCGACTATCGCTACCACGTGTTTTGGTCACTGCCGCTCGAGATCGCGTACTACTTCGTCATTCCCGTTTTCGTCTTGGCTGTGTTGGGTATGCGTCGGATGTGGTGGGCCGGTGCCCTGCCCTTGACTGTGTGGGTGGTCTACGAGGGTTTCAGCACGGTCAGGTTCGATCATATGACTCTACGAACGCACATTTCAACGTTCTTGACGGGTTCGTTGGCAGCGTTGGTGTTTGTGAAAGTGGATTTGTGGATGAAAAAGACGGAGTTTGCATTCCGGTGGTGGCACACAGTAGTCGTCCGAGCTGTCGAGTGGTTGACGATCGTGGTCCTGCTCAGTGTGTCGTTTCGTGGTTTGCTGTTCCATTGGACTCAAGTGGACCAAGGGCCACCCTACAATGGAGCCCCAAACGTAAGCGGACTTGTGTCTGTGCTTATCGTGATTGAGATGGTCCAGCCTTCTTGGGTGTCGACGGCGTTCGAGTGGAACGTGCTTCGCTATTGGGGCAAGATTGGGTTTTCGGTCTACCTCATGCATTCATTCGTGATTCAGGACACTACACCAGATACACAACCATATTACTTCGATCGGCTGTTTGCTCGACTGGTTCTCGTCACGATCCTGTCAACGGTAACGTACTACCTTGTTGAGTATCCGTCGCTATTGCTTGCACAGCGCATGTCCAAGTACCTCGCCGCCAAGGAGGCGAAAGCGTCAGTTGGCGCGATCTAGTTGGCTAACGAGTGAAGCGCAAGCGATAGAGAGAGAACAATACGCACAACAGAAAGCAGGTAGCACGTACGAAGAATCTTAAGAAATGTTTGATATGTTTGATGCCTTGTCGAGGCTACATCGATCCCTCTATGACCAATACACCATTTGGCCACATCAGACAAACTCTCTTATCCCACAGAAAGACATCAGCGGCTGTCACTGCGACCGGATGCATCGAAGCCGTGATCCGATAATACAAGTGGCGTCGTCTCTACTACACCAAGCAAAAGCTTTGAGACCAAGACATTTGTGGTGCTGAATGGATCGTTGAAGTTGCAAATTGGACGTGCACAATCTCTGCTGTGGTGCAAACGCTCGGCAGACACGTGTCGACTTGTCTGTAAAAAGGGACTTGCGAAACAGTCAAATTGCAGGTTGGCTTGCTAATCCTGCTTCTGTCGCTTTTATGTCAAGCAGAGCAACATATCTGTACTGGTTAAACCGTACTACGCTAGGAAGCATTTTAGACTATCTCAAACTGCGTTTCGGTGCCCTTTCGACGTTTAAACAATTCGTATATCGTAAATCACACCTCGATCCGTATCTGCTGACATAATCCGCAAATTTCGTCCGCTCTCGATTTACAAGGCTTTTTGTGCCTTGCAGCAGAGCTCTCGTTTTAATTTGCCGCAAATGCCTGCTCGCCCCGTTGTCATTTGTCTTGGTACCGGAAGTTCTCGTGTTAGCAGTAACTCGAAACAAGAAAGCACAAGGGTAGACGTATCGAGACGAAAGTTGTAAATCACATTATCTGAGCGTTCGTTACCCACTTCTGGATCTTGAGGCCAAGAACGACAGCTTCACATAGTGGATACATTTGGAAAGTTATCAGGTGAAGCACATCTGAACGTGCGACTAGCTCAGAATCAAATGAAACCTCGCAACAAATCGAGACAAGTCTCGAAGAATGAAGGCCTTCCATATACGCTCATGGAGATGCCACGAGATGATAGATCATCAGGCCGGAACTAGGATACTGGTGGTGTAACGGGGTGAGCCCGTTACATAAAAATTGGTATGAAAGTACCAATTTTTGAATATTATCTGTTTTGATAAAATTCAATCAACATCACTCGAAATGAGTGATGTTGTCGGATTATAATCGCTAAGGATAATATCCGTGGAGGGGTCCACTTCTCGGTTGATGCACGGTGTACATCAACCAACTCAACCACCAATCGCTGCTGGACGCGCGCAATGGGTGGTGAGAAAGGGACACGCATAGGAGAAGATAGTTTAATATAGTTTGAGTAAGTCAAAGATGAATTATTAACGTAATAACTATATTAAATAAACAGTTCTACTTTTCCCTCAAGACCGAGCTTTCGACTTCTGTTTTACCTACCGCTTCCTCGGTTGCCCTGCGTACGCTTGTCGGGCACACGTCACCCTTGCGTTAAGTTCACGCAAGGGGTGTGCCCCGTTACAGGTGGACAACAAAAGGGGGGGGCTCCGAATGAAGCATAATGCGGCTTCAAAAGGTGATGACATCGACTTGTGAAGTCGCAAGCGTGAATCAGGAGTCACGACATTGAATGAAACAATGATGCTAGCCATTCTTTCACATCGGAGGTACTTTCGCACCTGACATGGACTGAGTCAGAGATCGGGAATCTCTAGAAGCATGTTTTGGGACAGAACTAAAGCCGACAGAGAAGAATTGATGTTGGATCATACATGGCCTATCGTGTACGCCACATATAAGGAGCTAGGGAATAGGCTGATCTTCACACTATTCTTCAGCAAGGCAAAATTGCTCAATTTCTTTTAGTCAAACTTGCAACAGTTTGGGTGTGTCGCTGCGTAAGACATGTGGGGGTCCAGGATTTTATATCTTAAATACTCATTTCGACTCCATCACACGATTCCATTGATCTGGGAAGACGTAAGACCAGTGTACCCGAATAGACTTCTCTCCAAGCCGAGATAGAGGGGTGGACAAGGTCCACGTATGTCGAGGTGGACAAATCCAAAATCTTGATTGAATGCACACATTCGATCCGAAAGGTATTTAGTTCATCGAAGTGATGGTGATCAACTAAACAATTGTCTTCGTGAGCCAACACTACGGCAAAATCGTCAGGTACCCTCACAAGAAGCTAAACGATTTTGATCCATATTCACAAAAGGCGATCGATAGTCTCAGATGGCTGGAAGCATGGCCAAGTCGAGGCACGACAAAGCCTAAACACGTGCGATGCTCAACTTATATATGATTGAATGGGATTTTCAACGCACGGGCGCCTTGCTTCGCAATGGGGTGAGCCGCGCATACGTGATTTTGATGTACCTGACTCATCATAGTGAATATGGCATCAGTGCGTAGCATTCAGCAATATTCCACGTGAAGGTAGCTTGTTGGTAGCACCTGACAGACGGACGCAATACGTGGTGAGCAGGTAGTCAGTATGGATTTTTGCTGGTGTGTACAATTGAAGTAGGGGTACAGACGATGTTATAGATGCTGTAGCCAAACTGAATACATTCCTTGTTTCAATAAAACGTGATCGTAGACCTCAGTGTTTACATAATATATACTTCCTCAACCCAGGAGCGTACTTTGGCTTCAAAGTTCCTGTTGACGTTATTAACACTGAAGGGATTACATTGGCATCAGCGTCAGCGTAAGATGTCCCGTTACATCTTGTCGACTCTGCAAGGTAAAAAATGCGCTTTATTCGAGCATTTTGCCTAACCTGGCTTATTGTCCAACTCGATGTCGATTCTTGGCGTTTAACAGCTCTCTTGTCCAAAAGATAGTGATCTACATACCGCGATATGAGCTGTTGGTACATCATCCATTTTATTAACAGCTTAATCGTGGTTATGGTAGATTACTTGTTTTTCATAAATGGAAAGATCGCAACGATCGTAATGGGATTAAGCTATAAACAATTAAAGCCACACTCTACAAACGGACACAGAAACAAAGGTTTGGGCTAGATCCTGATGCTTGATCCTTACTAGTCGTGTTTGTAAATGCCGAACGTCATCTCCATCGCATCGTCTTCAGCGCGACGAGTGGCGATGGTATCGTTCAAATTACTCAGATAGCAGTTCGTTTTGGAGATGCCAGTCGTAGCTATTCTATGTCGACGTTCACGCGTCGTCTTAGCAACATTAGCAGATGATGAGTGTTGTATGAGCAAAATCGATTAATATTCCATTTCGCTCACCAGCTCTGACTGATAATTGATTCGTTGGGGAAGCAATTTTGACTTATCATTTTCATCGTCGAGTTCACAATTGAAGTAACTTGGTGATCGCTTCCTGTTTCTCGTCCATCTTGATAGGCGTTCAAAGCAATACTGACAACTGAGCCCCTGTTGTTGAACTCATCCGCTTGGTTGCGTTCCATTCGCAACTAGATGCTTGGAAGAAGGACCGACCCGTTGTTCGTATGCTATCCATATCCACCATGTATTGATGTATATATTCGTGATTGCATGATGTATTGCAAAGGGCTAAAAGTGAAAAATGTGCGTTACATTATAAATCAAAAGGTGTGGAGTAACTCCAATAAATTGGCAAGTATGCATTGTCATCGTACGTTATAGTTTATTGTACTGGAAGTCCACATTCCACAAATGCTTCTGTGCAAGCAATTAGTACGAACCAGGGATTGCAACACATAGTGCTATCAAAAAAGACACATCGTTGTTCTGCATTACTATCAAAGTTTTGTTAGGAAAACTTATCGAAATCAACCCTCAATTTACATGATGTCAAGGATGCGCATGATTCATCGAGTATTCACCCATATATCTCACATGTCACTGCCTGATAATTCCCTTCGAAAATACCACGACCTTTACCAGCAAATGCGAGCGTGTGTGTCACCCGCTGCCAAAATACTTTTTAGATCATATTTATGTTGGTGTGCAAAGTAATAGCTACAGATTATATGAGTAGGTAAATTGAAAAATAAATAGTGAAGTGATAAAGATCTTTTGTTTTAGAATCTTCCGCTCCTCCAAGCTTGCTTATCTCACATTTATAAATCATCTGATTTCCTGTATTCAATGTTCGTTCCGTTGCTTGTCTTAAATCCTTTGATAGACGTAATACATCAACCTATTACATTGGTGAAGGAGCCAATATTACCTGTCTTTAAAGGAGACGTCTCGACACCAAAGTCAGCCTTTATAAAGTAGACAACTATTGCGCATATCAGCCACACGCTACAAAAGCTGCCAATCGAAGTCGAAATACATAGTTTAGATGGCCTACGATAGAACGATAGCGATATGGCTTCTTCTGCTTCTTTGGATATACATGCTTTCAATCGCTGTAAAGGATTCGTCATCGCAAAATATTGGTGCAACGCAGACCTTTCATGTTGCCCGGGCTTGCCGACTTACGGAGGAAGTACTCTAATCCGTTTTCTTGATCAATAGATTGCTGTACGTGCAACATCGGTTGGACTGTATCAGGCGCTTCTTACCGGTCTTAAGAGATGTCGATCTTGCTTAAGGGTAACGTCGTATATTTTTATCGCTGAACGAAAATCTTTACAAATAGGCATTAAGTGAGCAATCACACTTCGAGATTGATTGGTCTGCTTCCACAAATACTTGAACCCAATTGGGCATTTCTCATAACCCCTTGGAACTATCTTCTGACAATCTAAGCCATTTCGCGGTCTGAGGTTTCGATCCAGATAGACCTTTAGTTCGACTAAATTTACTTGTAACGCTTGTTCCACTTGATTGCTTCCACCTGTTACTTTTCTTTTCCATGTCTTGGATCTCCATACCAATTGTGCGACCTCACGCTTAAGCAGATCTACATTTTCGATCTTAGTTGTTCAGCATGTGTACCTGCATTCAAGTATGGGTCGGCATTATTTGTAAGAGCTCTTGCTTAATTTGGCGAGACTTTAGAAGCGATTAGTCTCTTCATACGCTTGGATCACGAATCCTCGCCCGTCAGGAATCCACAGAAGGTATTTCCCGGAC